CACCACACACACGCTCACCGCAGCTCAGACACAGTCCACTGCCGTTCATCATTGTGATCACACACATCAAGCATTACGCTACCCGCAATAATTTTTAGCTATCATACAATTGCCTTTTATTTGCCCTGGCAAAGATTTTATTTTTTCTTTGTATCGAAAGGAATTTTTATTTTTCTTCGTATTTTGAGAGAGAGATATTTTAGTTGTGTTTATAAACTTTTAATAAGTGAGTCAGTGCTAGTGTACAATACCGTACTGGACAGGATATAGACGCCATCATGGCCGACCAACGGCAACAGCATTGAAGGTGGGGTACCCCAGCCAGACGTCGCCGATCTTCACCTCCACAATACCAACAAAGGTCGGTGCAAATATCTTTATCTCTCTCGAAAACAATTAAAATAATTCAATATAAGCAATATATCTATTTGCCATATATTTCACATTATCTATAAAATCAATAAGTATTTTTTGCTCTGTTCAATCACGATCAATTTATCCTACATTATAACACCATCTCTTACAATAGATACAATAACAACAAATATATTGTTCCTTGGATATTGATATTCTCCACTCATTAAATATAATCCTTTTATTTAGTTTCTGTAAAACAAAGATCTTAAAATTCACTGAACCCTAATAATGTGTTTTGCAGTAAAACACCAATTATTGTAAAAAAAAAACACAGTGTACATTTTTATCTTTTCAAAATCTTTGTCATGTTTCCATTAATTTCAATTTGAGTATAACCAGCTGTTTCAAATCTATATATCTAATTCCGTAAGCCCAAAATTTTACAATGAAATTGTGAGCGAACGGGAGGTCGTAGAAAGCTGGGAGGGGTCTCATTTTAAAGGTCTGGGCATGAAATTTTGGGGAAAATTATTCATTTTTCTTAATTATGCACCAAAAGGTTGTTACGTAATAAAATAATTCACATTTAAATAGCATGGGAATCTAGGACATGTCTGCTTTGTTTACCTACTTTAAAACATGTGGTTAACTTTATTTAAAGCATATGGTAATATGTACTGTACTGTAATTTGTAGACCTTTTCCCAATTTTAAGGGTCTGGATTAGTCAATGGAGTACGATTGGTTGTGTTAGGTATGTCTGAAAAAAGTGTAAAGTTTGAAGTAATTTCTGGAGTAGGCAAAGGCCCAGCGCACACGGTGTGACGGTTTTACAACAACTGTTGCAAACCAGTTGCGTCTGGAACCAGTTTGCAACTGAAACAAAACTTCTGCCCGCACACGGTGTGACTGTTTTACAACTACAGTTGCGTCTATTGTGCAATCAGTGGAGTGCAAATTTAGTGCAGTTACGATGTTTTAAGGCCTAAGGTGCGCTTAATACGTCGGACTCAGACGAAGAAGACGTCATTAGCTATTATCAATACCAAAGACAGCGAAGGGTACTGAGATAACATTGGGTTCACCCTTATTTGAGCAAGAATGTTAGTACTAGGCTGTTTGTAGCAGCTAGAGCTATTCGGATAGGAAATTATAAACACTAAAAACACTATACGGCCGTCAAAATTCAACCAAAATACCACCATCAAACGCCACAAAAACACCCGTGGTCTCGTGCAACTGAAGTCTGCAACGCAACTGCAACGTCGGGCCCACGGTTGTATGTGACTGGTTTCAAACTTTTTTTGAAATCGCATACAACCAGTTGCGTCGTGTGCGCCTCCCCACTTTAATACATTGCCGAGGTCTCAAAACAGTTGCCCGCGCAACTGGTTTGCAACGAAAGTTGTAAAACAGTCACACCGTGTGCGCTGGGCCAAAGGGAACATATTTTTCATGCCAAAAATAAAACTAATATCTACAGATCATAATATGCTGTTTAAGTTTATAAGGATTCCAATTCCATTATAAATAAAGTGCAAGGCCAAAACTTCGAAAAAGTTGGCATTTATAAAAAAACCATTGTTTACCCATGGTCATTTTTGATGTTTTTAGCCGGGTAAAGCGGCCAGATGATGTATACTACTACTGTTAAAAGTACTACTGTAGAACCAAATAAAGACCAAGGAATCGACCAAAATGGATACTATAGGTACAACAAATGTTTCCAGAGAGATTTTGTTATAGAATTAGCATTTTAGAATTTGGAGGATGACACTATCTCTATGTGTTTTATCTAAGTGAATTTGTTTATATTCAAAGAAATTTATATATATTTAATTAATAGTCATGAAGATTATTATTAAACATGTTCCTTAGTTGTAATATGATTTAGTTTGTATTATAAACACATCAAATGAACAGTCCTTTGCAGTTTTTATTTTAATCAGAGCAGACATCAAAATGCATTGCAGGTATGTATACATATTATAATATACAAAAATGTTCAACGATAATTCAAGGTAGGGTAACCCATGAGACTAATAATTTGTACAAAATAATTACTAGAATATAGTATATAGGGGCTATTGCCCCTACAAGCCACTAGTATTAGTGTAAATTTCAAAGTATTTATCTGTTCAAATGTAAACAAACATTTTCTCCATAAGGATAACATGGGAACTTTGAAGGCCACTGGGGGGGGGGGGGGGGGCGTTCCTTGACATCCAGGGCGCCTTTGACAACACTGAAACCCAAGCTGTCATCAATGCTGCCAGAGCTCGTGGATTCCATGAGGTGGTGTGCATGTGGGTAGAGTCTCTACTTAGGAAGGAGGAAGGTAAGACTCTCTCTTCACAATGAGGTTCTGGAGGCCAGGACCACACGAGGGTGTCCACAGGGTGGTGTACTCTCTCCTCTTCTCTGGAACCTTGTTGTGGATGACTTAATTAGATCTCTCAGTGACAGTGGTGTATTCGTTCAAGGATACGCACAAGGACGACATTGTGATACTAGTTATGGGTAAATTCAATAACACGGTCTCCGACCTCATTAACACAGCCTTGAGGTCAGTTGGACAATGGTGCACAGAGGTAGGCCTTTCTATCAACCCCTCCAAAGTGGCGGTTATCCCCTTCACGAGGAGGCGCGATCTAAATGGCATAGGACCTCTGAGACTACAAGACACAGTGCTTGAAATGCAGAATTAGGTAAAGTACCTGGGTTTGGTATTGAACCGAAAGCTGCAATGGGGACCACAACTCCAAAAGGTCATTGATCGAGGTAAGTGGTCACTCATGGCATGCAGACGGATGGTGGAAGGAACCTGGGGGCTCAAGCCGGTGCTCATGCACTGGCTATTTGTCTCTGTGGTAAGGCCTGCCATGACATATGGCTCACTCGTGTGGTGGCCCAAGATGGACTCTGTGTCGGCGGTGAGAGATCTGGCTGCCGTCCAAAGACTCGCCTGTCTTATCATCACGGGCGCAACGAGCAGCTGTCCGGGAGCCTCACTGGACTGCCTTCTCAACCTCACTCCAATTGACCTGCATGTCAAGGTCACTGCGAGGAGGACTGCCTACAGACTCCAGTGTGAAAACCTTTGGTTGGATGTTGGAGGATCCCAAGGTCACTCTCGGATCACTCAGCAGGTAAGAGGGGAGGTAATGGACATGCCCTCGGACCACATATCGACTCGATTCTTCTTCGCCAGACCATTCACTGTCCTTCTTCCATCCAGGGATGAGTGGATGTCGGTTGGGAATCCTCTTCTACAAGGCGACCTTGAATGGTATACTGATGGTTCAAAGGTAAGAAGTGGGATTGGGGCTGGAATTCATGGAATGCAGAACGGGGTGGACATTTGTCTTCCTATGGGTACTCACCCAACTGTGTTCCAGGCCGAAATGACTGCGATAATGGTATGTGCTAGGGAAAACCTGAGGCTACGCTTCAGGAACATCAACATTTCCGTTTTTACAGACAGCCAGGCTGCGCTCAAAGCGCTCGACTCATATGAATTCAATTCTAAGGTGGTCTGGGACTGCCTTTCTGCGGTATGCGACCTGGGCAGGCGCAACAAGGTAACACTCTGTTATGTTCCTGGGCACTCAGGGATAGAAGGGAATGAGGTGGCTGACAGGCTAGCAAATGACGCGTCAGACTCAGACTTCGTGGGACCACAGCCTTTCTGTGGAATCTCTCATGGGCATACATGTCACTCAGTCATGTAATGGGTTCAGGAGGAACACAGGAAAAGATAGGTTAGGCTTCAGCACCATAGGGTAAGTAAGCTCACCCTCTTCTTCCCTTCCCAGACGGTCGCCTCCAATGCTCTACATTTAGACAGGAGGCAACTCAGACAGATCACAGGAATGGTCACTGGACCTTCCTGAAATTGCACCTGTATCGCTTGAGGAACCACAATGGTGACACTTCGTGTAGGAAATGTGGGCAATCAGAGGAGACTGCTGATCACCTACTCTACGACTGCACAGCTCTGAATGAGGTAAGGGACAGTACTCTTGGTGCAATGACAAGGGGCAGACACCTTCCTCAGGAGGAGCTCATAGACAGGATGCTGAAGTTCACTAAGCAACTCAGGTTTGACAAACTCTGAAGTACCATGTGGGGAGCGCAAAAAGCCCATCAGTGGCTGACATGCAACAGGACAAGGTCCGCCCCTACAGAATCAATCAATCAATCAATCAATCAAGTGGTCCTTCGAATGATTCTGATGTTTTAACTCATGTTATTATCATATTTTATCCCCCCATCAACCAGTAAAGGTTAACCTGTATATAGCCTACATACCTTTACACATTATTTATATGCTTTAAAGTAACTGTAGGAAAATTATACTGTACAACACAAGCGCAAAGTCTCTTTGCTGCACTCGAGAAACTTCCCTATCATTTGCACTCTTTTCCAATTATAAATACTGATCTTTTCAATGAAAGCACTGCAGAACGCACTACATTGAAAATAAATTATTACTAAAAATAACTCACTCTAATGGTTTATTCCCTGGGGTTAATGCACATTTTAATCATAAATTTATGTCAGATATTGTTTTGGAAAACAATTTTGGTAAATTGGTAATAGAAACGAGATTAATGTGATTAAGTAATTCCAGTGCACCCTTACCAATATTGGTTCTGCTTCCATGTTCGGAGATGCCCCAGAGTCTGATGTGACTGGAGTATGAAATAGCCACCATCTTGGATGCTGTCTCTCCCTGCGCTGCTCCACCTCCCAGCTTGGCATTGACTGCAACTCTCTCTATACAGCTCTCGATGTGAGGCGATGTAAACACCAGCTGCCATCCAGTAGAGTCCTTCAGCCTGGACCACACATATACTAATAATTATCCTATACTCTAATACAAGCTATGTCTGTATGTATGTCTGTCTGTCTGTAATTATACAGGGTGACAATTAAGTCTTAGGAAGACTTTAAAACTTTAAAATGCAAAGAGATATCATAACCAAATGTGGCATATCATTATTGGTGATAGTAAGATATTTTTTTGTGTACATGGTGATGTGATGTTACCTATGGGGGACGGCCCATATGGAGTAAGCTGAAAATCTTAAATGTATGCATAGGTTGATATATACATCAAATTAAAGGTCTTTTTGAACTAAAAACAATGCCATAAACTGGACCTCTAATGGAAAACCGAGTCAAAAATGGTAGCCGTTCGAAGATTTCTTGAATCTGTCATTTTTAATCTTCAAACGGCTTTCAATTTTTACTCAGTTGTTCTTTTGAGCTCACATTTGTGGCATTCTATTCTACTAATGAAGGCCTTTAACCCTCCGAGTGTCATGCGTCGCTGCAGCGACTCACGAACACTGTTTACGGCGAAGGCTCTATGACTGACAAAATCGGATTGAACTGGATCGAGTTAGGTATTGTTCTTTTCGTTATATTCTAAGCTTTCTCCAGAGGTCTGTCTCTAAGCGCTTTATGTTCTCCGAGCCGATCGTAATTGTAGCAGACAGCTGACGTGCGTATTTGTAAACAGGTTAGTTAACCTCGGACCGATGACTGATGTGTTTTATTACGTTTATCACTGTTTTAGTGTTAAAAATCAAAAGTAGTGATACACGTGGTGCATTATAAGAAGATTAAAGTGATTTTGAAGGGCTGGTTGATGATCCTGAAGAAGTAGGTAGTGATATTGATGTAAATTATCAGCCAGATTCCTAGCTATGGTTAGGCTATGCATTCTTAGCTAAACGCTATGTACTGAAATCTGTTTTTTGCCCATAACTTATTTATTTGCAAATCTACTTCCTTATATTATTATATATTTGTAATCCTCATAAAATTTAGAACAAAGTGGCTATTTTCAAATATTTATAGGCCTATAATTTATACAATTTCATTGAGCGCAAACTTATTTTTTTTTAATTTTTCCAAAATAATTTGTATTTTTACCTAAAAAAATTTTTTTGAAACAAATATTCCTTAGGTTTTATGTATGATATTGAAGCCCATGCTTTTCCAAACAAAATGGTATATAGAACAGTAGAATTAACATTGTTTTAAGCTTTTCAGATCCGTTTTAATGAAACCTTGCAAATGCGCCAAAAATAGGCGGACATTAAGGCCTAAACTATGGACACTCGGAGGGTTAATTTGATGTGCATATCAACCTATTCTTACGTTTATGATTTTCTTCCGTCTTCCCCCTGAGCAGGTAGCATATGCAAATTTAAAGAATCTTTGAAGAGCTGTTATTATTGACTCGATTGTCCATTTAAAGCCCGGTTTGCAGCATTGTTCTTAGATCAACAAGAGCTTTTTTTTCTGCGATAACTGAAAAATCTTGAATATCTCACTCAGTAACAGAAACATCACCACTGTCTCCCGAAGTTACCGAAACGTCATCGTCGTCACACGCGGTCACGAAAACGCCATCGTCGTCTCCCGCGAACACGGAAATGTCATCGTTGTCTCCCGCGGTCACAAAAAACTCATCGTCGTCTCCCGCGGTCACGGAAACGTCATCGTCATCATCCGCGATCACGGAAACGCCATCGTCGTCTCCCGCGGTCACGGAACGCCATCGTCGTCTCCCGCGGTCACGGAACGCCATCGTCGTCTCCCGCGGTCACGGAACGCCATCGTCGTCTCCCGCGGTCACGGAAACGTCGTCATCGTCTCCCGCGGTCACGGAAACGTCATCGTCGTCTTCCGCGATCACGGTAACATCGTCTTGTCACCCGTGGTCACGGAAACGTTATCGTCGTCTCCCGTGGTCACGGGAACATCATCGTCGTCTCCCGCGGTCACGGAAACTGTCATAGTCCGCATGCGCGATCGCGGCAAAATCACTAACATATCCCGTAGCCGTTTGGACATCATCATCGTCTCACGCGATCACGGTAACATCGTCTTGTCACCCGTGGTCACGCAAACGTCATCGTCATCTCCCGTGGTCACGGGAACGTCATCGTCGTCTCCCGCGGTCACGGAAACGGGCATAGTCCGCATGCCCGATCGCGGCAAAATCACTATAGTAATACCACGAACAAAACAACCTGCGCAGAAACGAAAAGATCACGTGGTTCGCGCCGGTAGGTGTGGCGTACCATTCAAACCTGCGCGGCTCGAAACGGCCCAGGGTTCTTTTATTTCTAGTATTACTATAACATACCCCGTAGCCGTTTGGACATCATCATCGTCTCACGCGGTCACGGAAACGTCATCTTCGTCTCCCGAAGTCACGGAAACGTCATCGTCGTCACAGGCGGTCCCGGAAATATCATCGTCGTCTCCCGCGGTCACGGTAACGTCATCGTCGTCTCCCGCGGTCACGGAAACGTCATCGTCGTCTCCCGCGGTCACGGAAACGTCATCGTCGTCTCCCGCGGTCACGGGAACGTCATCGTCGTCTCCCGCGGTCACGGGAACGTCATCGTCGTCTCCCGCGGTCACGGGAACGTCATCGTCGTCTCCCACGGTCATGGAAACGTCATCGTCGTTTTCCGCGGTCACGGATACGTCATCATCGTCATACGCGATCGCGGCAAAAATTTCCCGGTTAAATACAAAATTCACGCATAATTCCCGGTTCCAAAAATTCACGCATAATTCCCGGTTCTCCCGGTCGGTGGACACTCTGTTTTACCTACCACCATTTTGTAAACTAGCCGTTTCAGTTTAGTTCTTAGAAAAGAATTACTTAACAAAATTGAAAAGAATTGAAGAGATTCACTTAACAGTATTGTTTATTTACATAAAAACACGGGTAACGGACCAATGAGGTTCAAGGATTGAGAAAAAATAAGTAAAATTGTAATGATTCAAACTTCAACTAATCAGCTGTTCAGGCCAATTTAATTGTTGAGTGATGTAATTAATGTTTGGTACAATGTTTCATTTCATCACTGTCAGTGGCAATGAGAGGTTATAAACAAAAACATAAGCTCTCTTAGAAGTTATGAGTAGTGATTTTTAGTAATTAAAACACTGTCTTAGGTAATGCACTGTATCCAAGTTGCGAAAATAGTCTTAACGACACTCGTAGAAGTTTTTAAGGCTCGTACCTCCTTAAATCACTACCGGTACTCATGTCATTAACACTATCTTTACGCAGTCGTTGCATAAACTGGTATCACATTGCAGAGATGTTATTATTTCAGAGATAAATGTCTCAAGTTTGTAATAAAAATCCTTTTGTAAATTATTAAATGTCTGCTTACGATAGGCCTATTGTTTTAACAATTAAACCCAATGAACCATAGCCGAGCAAGGCACGGTCCCCCGGTACTACTAATAATACACCAATTCAAATAGAGTGAGAAATGATGAATATTTTTATTGTTTAGGGGAGATTCCACAACTTTCTTGTAAAATCCATCAGATGGAAATTTGTTGGAGGTGTTAATCAATAATGCACTTTGTCATGTCACCTGAAAACTCAAAAACCTATTAGATAGTCTACCCACCCACAGAGTTAACTGAAACTTTTGTAACAAGTGGGCGATTTTCAAGTGTTTACAGTACAAGCATGCACAAAGACCCAGAAATTATTTCACACCTATACTAGTCTTTTCTAAAAAAAGTAAGTCCTGTCATAGACAATCTGTGTATTTTTACTCTACATGGGCAAAAGAACTTTGGTAATGATGAATTAGACTGCTAAAAAATGCAAACTGAACAGACTGATTGCTAAAGAAAAATGCCATATTTAAACATAAAAAGGATATAAAAAAGTGTATAAACTTAAAGAAACTAATATGACGGATAAAAACGTTTTCAAGATGGTCACCTGTAGCAGACGACAAAGTGAGCGTAGGCCACTGCAATCCAGTGATGATGAGCCTTGATAATCTGCACTCTGAGGGGGTCAGCCCAGTTTGAACCTGTACAATTAATTATTGATAATAGTTTCCATAAATTGCAAGACCCTGTAAAGTTGTTGTGAAATATGTTTTATGTTGCTTTTTTTAATAATTTACTTTGCAATTCTGATTTCCGTCATTTAATTGGTTTAGCTCTCAGCCAACATTTATATTACGTATAGTATTATCCTTCGTTTTTAACCCTAAATGTTTGTTTCTATGTTCGTCGTGTTAAATGTATTTATTTATTATGAATTGACGACCTTCAAATGATGCAAGAAGACATCTGTACTGGCCCGACAATGACTCCGTTGTAACATTTGTTTACTTAAGCACAGTCGACACGGGACTGATCACCCTGTTTTAAATATAAAACCTTACAGGATGCGCACTGTAATTGGGCCGACGCAACAAGTAAACATGTTGACTTGACAATCGCCTATCCTTAATTGAAGGAGTCCTGAAATCACCGCAAAATGCTATATTGAAGATTAAAATTTAATTTGAATTATAATTTCATCCATTTATGCATCTTTGGTTAAAAATACAACAAGGCAGGCCTAAGTTATATTTGCAACATTTACAAAACGGTTTGAAGACCTGGGAACAGCTGATCGTACGAACAACCGAGGTGACGTCATTACCCCCCTCCAGAGTTATGATGAGTCATACGATCCTTGACATCTTCCCACTACATCTACCATCATCGCTGAAACTAGACCTAGACTACTACCCTTCCCTCCAGAGGATTTTAAGCACATCATGTGCGAAGAGGGCCGACCGTACCCCTAGCTGACTGAACCTGAGCGGAGTGCTTGATGACGACCTCACAAGACCTAATCTGAGCCAGCAGTGGACATTACTAGCAACAAGCTGCCCACTTCATCCTCATCTCTGAGGTTTACGCATTGCAGTCTGATGTCAGAACTCAGAAGCTGAACCAACCTAAGCTAACCCACTCCGTCACCTATGTGGAAGGGTAACCAACTACTGTATCGCATTTGGTGAGTGATCTGCTCCAATTATTCATAGGCCCTCTAAATGAAGCCTAGGACTTCAATGAATTAATTCATATAGACATTATGAATAATTATAATAATTAATTATAATTATGAATAATAAATGGCTGGCCAATTTATCATGTAATAACAATAACATATTTAGATTTAGAGGTAAATATAAATGAATTTCAATTGATTTCATAAATACCCAAAATACCCGGGTATTTATGGATTTATTTACCCCAAGTTTTAAATACCTGGGTATTTATATTTACCTACCCACTGGGTATTTACCCGGCCCACATCACTAAGAAGGAAACAATCTGACTATGAAGATAATGAAAATGAACAAGAACAAAATGAAAGAAGCAGAGAAAAAGAATACAATTATTCAACTATGAAGTCAATCATTGTATCAAACACTCATTCAGCTATTCAACCTCCAGCTAGTTTCTCCTTTGTACCAGCAGATTGGCCAAGATGGAAAACACGATTTCAAAGATATCGGTCAGCATCTGGGTTATCTGAAGACTCTGAGAACAAACAAATCAACACTCTGATATACACGTTAAGTGAGAAAGCTGATGAGATTTTTGCATCTTTTAATTTAGCAACCGAATCAACGCTAACATTTGAAGAAGTCTTAGATTTATTTGACAAACATTTTATTCCACGGAGGAACTTAATTTTCAAAAGAGCAAAGTTTTTGAAGAGACAACAAAAAATTAACAAAACAGTTGAAGAGTTTATAGTTAGTCTCCATTCCTTGGCTAGAACCTGTGACTGGGGTTCCCTTAATGATGAAATGGTGTTGATGGTACTAATACTGGGTTTAAATGATGAGAAACTTAGTGATCGCTTGTTGCTAGATCCCGAGATGAATTTAGACAAGAATGAATTTACAGTAATACGACATGCAGATAACGTAAAGAAAGAGAAGACAAATTTATGTGATGAGAAAAGAGTTCAAATTGAAGCAACTCGTCGAGTTCAAACCAAAATCAAGGATATAGGTTTTGTCAAAAGAAACGAGAATACCCAGCACAATGCATTTGGTGTGGTTATAAACCGTCCCATCCAAGAAGCACGTGTCCAGCAAAAAGCGCAACATGTAACTTATGCAAAAAGATTAGTCACTATTCAAAGGTCTGCAGATCTAAAGAAGCACAGGAAGTAACTGACGAAAATGAAGTATGTGAATTTGGACCTTCAAATAATAAAGTATTCATATGTACACTTGGGGATGGGTCGAAATGTAAGCCCTGGAAACTAGAATTAGTATTTGAGGGAAAACCACAAACATTTAAAACTGATTCAGGGGCAGATGTAACAGTAATTCCCCCTGGCATAGTTGATCCAAGTAGGATCCAGCCGACTCTAGATGAGTTGTATGGGGCTGGTAGAACAAAATTAGAAACTGTAGGTTGTGTTAGAGCTAATATCCAAAACAGAGATGTTAAAATAAATCACATGGTATATGTAGTGAAGGAACTCATAACACCCTTGCTTGGTCGTCCAGCAATACAGGACTTGAAAATTTTAACTTTTGTTAATTCAGTTGCAGAGGTAGTCAGTGACTTTTTTACCGAGTACCAAGAAATGTTTAGTGGTCTGGGCGTCATTCCTGATCCCTACACAATAGCACTTAAGGATAGCGCAAAGCCATATGCAATAACCACTCCTAGGACAGTACCTTTACCCCTAATGTGTCAAAGTGAAAAAAGAACTAGAAAGTATGGTAGAAAATAATGTAATCACGTCAGTTGAGCATGCTACTGAAGGGTGCTCAGCAATGGTAGTAGTGCCTAAATCTAATGGAGATGTCCGCATATGTGTTGACTTAACAAAGCTTAATGAATCTATCCTGCGGTCTTATCATCCGATTCCCAAAATTGAAACGTCTCTCAGCTCAATCTCAGGAGCAAAATGGTTTTCAAAACTTGATGCAAACAGTGGTAATTTCCTTACCCCTTTTGGAAGTTTTAAATTTCTCAAACTTCCATTTGGAATCACATCATGCTGTTACTTGTGTGTTACTGTTACTCATGTATTACTTCCAGTACCTGAACATTTTCAGAAATGCATGAACAAAATCTTAGATAACCAGTCAAATGTCGCAGTCCATATGGACGATATTCTGATTTGGGGCAAAACTAAAGAAGAACATGATACAGTTGTTCGGCAAGTACTTGAAAAGCTTAAAAATGTAGGAATGACACTTAACAAAGACAAAACTGAGTTTGGGAAGTCAAGTCAAGACTGCCCAAAAAACGTAAAAGAACTTCAAAGGTTCAATGGGATGGTAAACTTTCTTGGTAAGTTTTTTCCTGACAAAGCTAAGATTTTGGCCCCAATGAATTCATTACTTCAAGCAAACGTTCCATGGATATGGGGTCCGGAGCAGGCAAAGGCATTTGATGAAATAAAACTCATTTTGACTAACTCTCCTTGCCTAGCCATTTACGATGTAAATCGGGAAACAATTATCTCCTGTGATGCCTCGCTTCAAGGGCTAGGATTAACTCTTTCTCAAGTTTAAGATGATGGTTCTATACAACCAGTATCATTTGCATCCCGAAGCCTTCTTCCTTCTGAAAAAAACTATGCAAACATCGAGAGGGAGGCTAGAGCTGTTGCTTGGGCTTGTGAAAAGTTTCAAGAATTTATTATTGGCAAGAGAATAACAATACAAACAGATCACAAACCACTACAGTAGAACTCCGATTATCCGAATCAATTGGGACCAGACCCCATTCGGATAATCAAAAATTCAGATAATCGGAGTTTTACAGGAATTCCGGGAATTTCCAAGAAAAATCCTCATTTCCGGTACTAAATGAATTTTTAATTAATAATAAATGAAATCAGAACATTTTTACAGTATACAATACTCTTAGCACAAGTGTTCTACACTTGTTGTTAATAACAATTCTTTGATATTTTCCAAACCTTATTATTACTGTAGCTTTACATTATTAAAATTGTTGAAATAAGCGATTCGGATAATCGGCGATTCGGTTAATTGGAGTTCGGATAATTGGAGTTCTACTGTACTTCAAATTTTGAAATCCAAACATCTTGATGAATTGTCTCCAAGAATTCAAAGAATTTGATTGCGTCTCATGAGATATGATTTTTCAATGACATATATTCCTGGAAAGCAGCTTCTAGTTCCTGATGCTCTTTCAAGAGCACCTCTCCCACTTTCAGGTACTGATGACCGTGAGTTAGAAGAAGAAACTCAAGCGTTTGTTCAAATGGTTTTGTCGTCCATCGATATAAACGACTGCATAGTTGCTAAAGTATTGGAGGAACCAAATAAAGATCCGACTTTATGTGAACTGAAAAAAATAATCATCCAAGGTTGGCCTTCTAAGACATCATTACGAGATGACCTAAAACCATATAATTCAGTTAAGGATGAGCTAAGCGTTGATAATGAGATGATACTACGAGGTTCAAGACTTGTAATTCCACCAGCTCTTCAGTCTTGGGCACTTCAAAGAGGACATGAAGGTCATTTTGGAATTACCAAGTGTTGTTTACGTGCAAAAGAGTCTGTCTGGTGGCCAGGAATTTCTTCAGCAATTGAAAGTATGGTGAAATCATGCCCTACTTGTATTAAACATTCAAGGAACAGTCATGAACCATTGCTTCCCACACCATTCCCTGACTGACCATGGAAAACACTTGCAATGGATTTGTTCAAACTTGAAGGCGTTTGGTTTTTGACTGTGACAGATTATTACTCCAGATATTTTGAGATAGCTGAATTAGAGTCATTAACATCATGAGAAGTAATAATAAGATGCAAAGCTTTTTTCTGTCGACACGGCATTCCAGAAGAAGTTAGGTCTGAATGTGGGTCTCAATTTCAAGTCCTTGAACATTCAGATTTCAAGACATTTTCCAAAGTTCATGGCTTCAAGCATATAACAAGTAGCCAAAAATTTTCCCAAAGCAATGGAGAGGCTGAAGCGGCAGTGAAAATCGCCAAAATGATTCTTATTTAGCGCTTCT